GTGAGGATAATTGAGGAGCTATTCCAAGGAAACAGCGGCTCCGGCCTAGAAAACCGAGATTAACGACCTTGGGGATTCGTTGTGCTGACCACCTGACACTCTATATCCGCAAAAGTTGGCACTAACTTCGCCGACAAGCGGCGTTCGCTCGGTCGGTATAGTTCGCTTGCAGACTACAGACCACGGAGTTTGTTTTTGGTGTTCATTTTCTGGTGTGGTTTTAGAGCTGGTTTCTGGTGTGCTGGTTGTCCGTATTGGAAATTGTAAGAAGCTGTGATATCATTTACATTCTCTGAAAATGCGAAGCTCTGTTTTAGAATTCAAGTGGGTGAAACACTTATGTCAATCTAGTTTCATCTTCGTTCCTTTATGTAAGAATCCAAGTGACTTAATTCCGAAAATTAGATTACAAAGATATGAAGTCCGTTTATGTCTGGGTTAAATTTACGTGTTACCAGGCGACGTATAAAAAGGAACAGACTGTACCAAAGTGTAATTAGGGGAGGTGATAAATTTGTCTGTATTCATTCCCCTAACAGCAGTAGTTGGGATGCCTACCTGATAAGTAGGAATAAGTAGATTAGTTCGGAATGCTGCAAATTTGTTATGGTTAGATCAGCGCGCCTGAATGCGGCGCATGTACCGTGGCGTATAGACTCCGTAAACAGCGGTCGTTGCTAAGTAACGCCTGCAACATGTATGCAACAATAGAACCAATCCAAGCACCAATCCGTACCCCATCTATAGTCATACACTCCCAAATACGTGACAGTATCTTGTTGGCGGTAGGGACGGGGGACGTAAGTATTAATACGTATCAAAATTATAATTATTTTTAAGTGTGGTGCCGGCCAAATTTCAGCACAGAAACCCGAAAATGTTGGACGATCTGTAAAATTATTTTATTTTATACGATATTCAGTACATTTTCTGGCTGTCCCTGTTAACTGATGGAAGGCGCAACCTTGTTCCTGCAGTAGATGCAATATAAAACTATAAACCGTAATATATAGCAGTGACACGCTATCAGGACAAGGCACACTGATGATACATCCGCCCTTTTGTATTTACCGCATTAGGCCGAATATAAAGAGTGATAAAGGTAAAAGGTAAAGCTATCCCAGTAACAGGCCATGAAGGCCCATAGGGTTGTGAGACGTCGAGGCTCCCACATTTTCTAGACAATCGGCTCACAGATGGCGGTAAGGTTGTGAGCCTTACGCCCCGGCCGCCCTCTACCCCTCCAGGAAGATTCCTGGTACTCATTTCTGTTAGAGGCTGAGTCGACCCCAGGGTCATAGTGTTGCTGGAAGGTTCACGTGAATTGAAACATATAATGACCTTACCGGGAATCGAGTGTGCAACCTTCCTGCTTGTAACATAGTGTCTCACCCAACTACGCTACCGCCTGCCCCCATATAAAGCGTGTTTTTTCTTATTATTGCTTCTTAGAAAAGGGGGGGGGGTCGCCTTATTTACAGGTTCTTAGGAATAAACATGAAGCATTTTATTTAAGGTACTGAATTTTAAATGTATTTCTTAACAGTATAATTTTAACGATTTTTTGTTCACAAAAGCCAGGACTAAATGACATATTCAGTTTTGTCAAAGAAGCTTCCACCTTGAATTTGTCCCTGGAGAAATAAGAGGTCACCTCACATTTTGGCTTGTGCGGTACTCACGGCTACGAAGTTTGGGAAGCACCAGTTAGAGAGTGTTTTATTTGAGATTTAGACCATTGCGTGGAATTGAAGTGAAACCGCACATAGTAAGCTTTATTATGGCAGAACGAGTATTTATCCTCTGTAAGTAATGGAATATCTGAAAGCTCCCTTCTAGTTCCGTCTAGCCCCTTCATATTACACTGAACTGAACGGATTGCAAGTAACGACATTAAGCAGCCTGAGGTGAAAACGCTCTGTCAAATTCGAAATTAGAAATTTACAGCGACAAAGCAAATAAACTGAAACTAACGGAGAAACAGCGCAGAACTGTGTAGAGTCTAAAGGGTTCTGACGGTTGTGTGTAACACTCGGAATTACTGGGTTTTTGGAACTTGTCCATCATCCCGTATTCTAAGGAACTAGAATACACAGCGTTTCGGGTACTGGATCTGTTTCCGTTCTCAGGTGAGGGAGAGACACCTACTCTAGAAAGAGCCAACTTCCAACGCTGGACAACCTTTGTCAATACAAACAGATCCAGTTCCCGTAACGCTGTGTACTCTAGTTCCTTAGAACACGGGACGATGGACAGGTTCCAAAAATCCAGTAATTCTGACTCTACAATTATCTACGGTATTGTTATTTTCACTAAGAAATATAATGGCAGTTATAATAGTATTGGTAGTAGTAGCAGTAGCATCAGTAGTAGTAATAGCAGCAGAATCAGTAGCAGCAGTAGTAGTAACAGTAGTAGCACTAGTGTTAGCAGTAGTGGTAGTAGCAACAGTACCGGTAGTAGTAGTAATAGTAGTAGTAGTCGTAGTAATAGTAGCGGTAGTAGTAGTAATAATAGTGGCACTAGTTGTAGCAGTAGTTGTGGTAGTATCAGTGGTAGTAGCAATGGTACCGATGGTGGTGGTAGTAGTAGCAGCAGTAGTAGTAACAGTAGTAGCACTAGTGTTAGCAGTAGTGGTAGTAGCAACAGTACCGGTAGTAGTAGTAGTAGTAGTAGTAGTCGTAGTAATAGTAGCGGTAGTAGTAGTAATAATAGTGGCACTAGTTGTAGCAGTAGTTGTGGTAGTATCAGTGGTAGTAGCAATGGTACCGATGGTGGTGGTAGTAGTAGTAGTCGCAGTAGTAGTAACAGCGGTGGCACTAGTTGTAGCAGTAGTGGTGGTAGTAGCAACAGTACCGGTGGTAGTAGCAGCAGTAGTAAGTGGTAGTAGCATTGGTGGTAGCAGTAGTAGCAGTGGTAGTAGCAATAGTACCGATAGTGGTAGTGGTGGTGGTGGTAGTAGTAGTACTAGCATTAGTGGAAGCAGTAGTGGTGGTAGTGGTAGCAGTAGTAGTAATATATTGTGACATGTTGACCTTTACCTCCCCAGCGGAACGTGGCGGTAACGTAACGCTCGCGTCACTACGGTAATAGGCGAGTTCCCGCCCCGCCACTCCCCTCCGCGGTGACGTCACCGAGGGATATCGCGGTCGCTAGGCANAGTCAGTTGTACTGAGACAGTCAGCGAGTCCTGGAGCTACCGCCGAGTTAGCCAGCAACTAGTCAGTTGTATTGTGGCATTTTTCAGTGTACTAATTGTGATACTGCAGATAGCAGTAATCGTCAGATTGTAATTTGGGTGATTGTGAGAGCGGATGTGAAATAAAATTCGCTACATCGAATACATCGTGAAGTTATTTGTCGCGATATACCCCGCGATACGCGACAATATTTAGGTCTATTCTTACGATGCTCTCACCATCCCAAATGTTCAGTGCGAATGGTAGTACGGTTAGGGTACTATCAGCAGTCGCATTAGAAATGGTTGAGTGCCGTGCTGGTAGCATTGTTCCTAACGTTGTTTGAAATAACAGCCGTAATTTTTTGGGGGCTTAGGATAATTCTCCTGCACACAATGTCGAGATTAACCCTTCAAAGAATGACATTTCGGATAAAAATGTTTGAAGATACAGTTCCTACAACACAGAACAAAAAATGCGACTCCATGAAAGACCAACCGGTTAATGCTGTTTATGAAAATAACCACTGCTTATTGTGAGAGCCACGCGAAGTAGATATATAAATTGCCAGTAAATATTGTTAGATCATAAATGATATAATGATATAAATTATATCATTTATCGTATGGAGTGCAACAGGATGCTTAAATATAATATTGTTAGACCAGGCTGCATGTATAATAACCATGTTATGAGTGGGTAGCGCTATATAGTGCTTACTGAAGCAAAGGAATATCTTTATATTCTTAACTTCAAGTTTGTGATATCAATGAAAACAAAGTTGTGGAATGATTTCTTTTTCAGCCGGTAGTCATATCGGACTTATCAAATATCTCACATATGGCGTGCGTTGTATACTTGACCTTGACACTAAAAGTGAGGTTCACAGAACGGCAATCATGCTCTTCGGAAAGAAAAAATCGTTGACGCAAAAGTAGCAACAGTAAGGTGTAGTTTGACCGCGCCATAGCGCAAGCGGTTAGTCGCTGGCTTCCCACCGCGGGGGCCCGGGTTCGATCCCGGGTCTGGTCAAGTGGGATTTGTGGTGGAAAAAGTGGCGCTGGGGCGGGTTTTCTCCGAGTACTTCGGTTTCCCCTGCCAATCTTCTATCCACCAAATTCTGCATCATCATAATCACCAGGGGCAGGTACAATAGGCCAATCAGTGGCCGCCGTGCCGAGTGGACCCGGTTGGACTCCACCCCCCACTAAGCGATTTAAAAAAAAAGTGTAGTTCGGAAGTAGGGGCGATAATGGAACACACAGTACGCATGCGTAATAAGAAATTTACAAGCTGCATTGCTTAGTAGACAAGACTTGTGTGGATAGGGCGCACAAAGGATATAGACGTAATAATGAATCTTGTATCAAAATATGAACCAAGTATCTCTAAAATTTTATAGTCACGTTGTCCGCCATATCAGCGCTGCCAACCGGAGTTTATTTGCAAAAGCAAACTCCCAAAAGTAAACCTTCGAAGATTTACAGGTATTTACGTTTTAAATAATCAAAAGCCCGACATATTCAGAACAGAATCAAATACCTAATCTTTAAAAACAAAACCGGAATCCAGTCCTTGTGAACTTGTTGGAGGAAAATGGGGTTAATCTTTGGGACTTCTTTTCTTACTGATAAACTTTTAAGTCTGGCAATGTTATCATGTAGGCAAACATGGCCATAACTCTTACAGTTATTTCAGCTACCTCGCTAACACGTCAAATACAAAGTTTTAAGGATTTGAAATGGATTTCATTGACCAAGACTGATCCAAAGGTGATTTTTTGTAATGTTAATGAATATTCAAGATGACAGTGTCTCTTACCTGCCAGAGCTAGATGCTTGATGAAGAAATTCATCTTTGACTTGCGAGATTTGTTGGGAATCAGTGCTAGGAGTACTGCGATGTTCCCTATGACGATGCTAGCAAACAGAATCCAGAGCACCGTCAGCTGTTCGGTCTGTGAACACACGACATAACAGTGGCTCATTGTGTGGAAATGTCCTGTGAAGTGAACACGAACTGCAGGAGTGGTTTGCCAGAGTTTTTGTACTTGACGTGATATTTTGGTTTACGCAACAGAGGGAGGGACGAAGAATACTGTATTCTGCAATATAACGACGTGTAGTCCGTTGAAAATCAACGGACATTTCGAAGCAAAACATTGCCTCCATCTTCAGGGCCAAAGGGTGGAACGTCAGTTGATTTTCAACAGACTACACGGCGTTATATCCCAGAAGTTGTTAGTCTTCATAACCACCGGCGTATAAAACTCGAATCCTACAGAGGGATGGGATATTTGTCAGGTTTTTGCACATTTGTCAGGTGGTCTTGCTTCTGGTTTCTAAATTACGGAAAATAAAGAATAAATTAGCGTTGTCTCTCTCATAAAACAGGATGTAAGCTTACATGGTCGATGAGAGCTTAAGTCTAATTGAGAATCTGTCTTGACATATGCGTTTGGATCTGTGATCTGTTAGCAGAAGCGGGCGAATTTCACATGATTTCCTTTCGACACAGGCAGTACTCAAAGTAATAAAATTGCTTATTTATTATGACGATTTCACTAAAACACATTCGTGTTCAAAAAAATAAAAGATAACCGAAATTTCCAAAGGCTGTAATATCACTTGTCTTTCCTAAAACGCCAATGATTCTCCTTGTACAGATCGCCCTATGTGATATTTAAAAGTTTTACAAGACATTACTTTTTATCACTTTAGCATGATTAATTTCATGTACTATAAGCTAATTATTTTGAACAATTGTGATAACCTAAAAGGAGTATGATACTTGGAAAACCTGGGCCTTGGTTGGAATTGAACATTAAAATGTATCTTAAGGAAACAGAATGGTTGTGGAATGGATTAGTTAGGTTCTTGATACGGACTAGTGGAGGTCTCTTATGACAATTTTAATTAACCTCAAAGTATCTTAAAAATCCTTTGAAACCCAGTGGTTACTATACGTACCACATACTTTAAAATATTGAAACTCTGCATTCTGTCCACAGAATGCATTTGTATGTTTCATAAGATTCTCAAAATAAATAGTTCCCCCCCTCCACAAACGACCTTAACCGGTTGGTCTTTATAACGGAGACGTAATGTGTTTCCTGTGAGGTACGAACTAAATTCTTATATGTGGAAGAAATTAAGCCTTTAATAGGTTAAGAGACGTGTAACGTCTATATCTGCTCAGAGATTATGTCCCCTTGAGTTTCATATTTTGACAAAATGTAAGGAGACACGATCAGTTTCTGCTGTAATAAAACCTCAGCCGTTCTTTCACTGAAAATTTCGAATATGAGAACGATCATAATTTTAAATAACCCAGAGGACCTGTCGCTTGGGGATCTGGTTGGAAACTCAAAGCCTAATCACTGAAGCTAGAATGCGTTTGTTTCTCCATGATGTAATTTTACCTCTACATGTCTGAGGGCAGTGCCCGAGGTACGGGTAACAGAAGCACTAATGAACTCCTGTTTTAAGCACGTTTGGTTAATTTTTTAACCTTCCCTTAGCTTCGTCAGGTTCTTTTTCCTTCCATTCTTACGCGACAGATTGCGTTATTCTGTATAACTCTTTTTTAATTAAGCTTTATATTAACTCTCTTCATGCATCCGAGGCATCTTAAAAAGTCTTAACCCTCATTTGGTCAAGAGATTCTCCACCTACAGTAGATAAGTATTTAGGGAACTGAGAGTTCATTAACATGCTTAAAGTAAGCTCAGTCAATATAGTGAATAGGATACAAGAGTAAACCTAGTGACTCACTGGACGACCGAGGAATCAGAGTTTGATTCCCGACAGGGGAAAAATATTTTAATCATCATACCGGTACTGAGGTCTTATTCACCTCCTCTGTAATTGGTACCTGGGGCTCTATACTTCGGGGTAAAGTGGGCGGGACGTGAAACTGACAACTCACCTCCATCTAGTGACTAGATTAAAAACGTGTGCAGTTATATCTTCAGTAATCAGGTACAGTTAAGAATGTACCAGTACCTCGCCATTTGTATATATTCTGAGCCAATGGGATTTAGTTCACGCTTCCAAATCTTATTTCTCTCAAATCAATTTTCATATCATTTCCTGTCGATACACAGTCTCCCAAGTAATCTTTTGATAATCGACCGCCTCTGTGGTCTAGTGGTCAGAGTTCTTGGCTGCAGATCCAGAGGTCCAGGGTTCGATTCCCGCCGCTACCAGATTTTCTGAGCAGTAGTTGGTCTGGAACTGGGTCCAGTCAGCCTCGTGAGGATAACTGAGGAGCTATTTCAAGGAAATAGCGGCTCTAGTCTAGAGAACCGAAATTAACGGCCGTGGGGAACCGTTGCGCTGACCACGTGACACCCTCTATCCACAAAAGTTTGCACTAACTACGTCGACAAGCGGCGGCCGCTCGGTCGGTATAGTTCGCTTGCGGACTACAGGCCACGGAGTTTTCTTTGTTTATGCATTAAATCTGTTTACCTCATGTTCATTCTCTCTCCGATAGCATAGGGATGATAGCTCAACCAGGAATCCCCAACTTAAGGAAGTCCCTAAGTACGTAATACTGTGAAGATCACATTACAACTGCACGATTACGAACAGGGATGACAAACCTGTGGTAGAACGCGAAGGTAGACACGAACTAGGAGCTAGTTCCATCTATATCCGAAGTTCAAACGCCTCTTCTTTAAGATCCATCATAATAACGACATCCAAACATAAAGGCGTCTTCTACTTTAAGTGCAATTGCTCGCTCAGTCTAACAGTATATTGATTTCTATTGAAACTTTCTGAGTAGTGACTGTTGTTGCTGCTTTTGTTTCCCCATATGACAAGTTTCATTTTGAATAGGTCATTTATGTACCATCCGTCAAAGAGACTTGTGTGGCTTTCTTCTTTGCGGGTATGTTTATTTGATACGCGAAATGATAAATATTCTTTAGACACAAGAATGTTATTAATGAAGGCGAGAGCTTACTGAATTCGAGAATAGGCCTGCTTGCTGCAATGGAGTTGAGGCTCCCCTGTTTCCGCTCTATTCTGCCATTCAAATATCGAAGATTAAGATATACTAGTAGAATGATGCACTGTCATTTTATATGTAATATTGGTTGTGTGGGTGTAGACTGGATTCATCTGGCTCACGATACGGACCAAGTAACGGACTTCTGTGAACACGGCAATGAGCTTTCGTGTTCCATAAGTTTCTTCAGTGGTCAAGCAACTACTAGCTTCTCAAGATGGATTCATGTCGGTGGTGTAACTTTCAAATTAATACTAAATTCTCACTTGGTTTTGTTAATACTGTGACATTTAGACTCATTGCCATGTAACAGCTATGTATACAGGCGACAGTACAACAGCCGTTGCTAGGTAACAGCTCTGTGGACACGTTGTTTCCCCTGCAACGACGTTGTTATGACAAGTATCTGAACATAGCCCCTACCATCGCGAATACAGCAACACGACAAGCATCCAGATGACAGTTTAGAAAAATACAAGCATACAATAATCAGTAACATGCACATCTACAAATATAACATGTTAGGACAGTACCAAGAGCTATTCGGTATACACCTGCAGAAGAGAGACATAGGATGATCTAGAATAGGAGGGGATGACTCAGACGGAAAAGGCTCCGAGGGCCATCTAGCAGCTGATGATCATCTTAGAGCACCAGAGAGGCCTAAAGAACCGAAGAGAATTTTGCAGTTAGTTTCGGTCATTATCAGCGGCTACATGGGGGCTTATGTCTGTGTATGATCCGTTCCGTCCTCTTGAAGACTGTATTGATCCTTCCACGTTAATATTGGGCGTCACTCGCTTTCTTTTCATATAAAACCCAAACCAGGAAAAGCCTCGGGTGATGAATCCAAACTAGATTCATCTATTAATCCGCCGAATAGAAACCCGGAGAAGGTATGTGATCAGAAGAAGAGAAGTTAATAAATAGCTTTTGTTTTAACTTGCGAGAACAGTGAAATACGAAATCAGTTGACATGATATGCATACACACTAAATGTTTAAAGCAGAAGAAGGAGAGAAATTCAATTTGTTTGCAACCACGATCACCGTTCGCTTCTTCCGTAATTTATACTGTTTTATATCGTCTAATTGATCTTTTTTTTGTTATTAATTAATTAAGACTGGGTAACCCAGAACTTAATTACAATTAGAACTAGTTGGATAACTAACGATTATTTTTTTCTAAACCTAATTTTTTTTTTCCTTTGGCACTACAGCCCCAGTGGGCCTAGGCCTACCTCCATGAACTTCTCCGTTCACTTCGGTTTTTCTAGATCTTACACATACGGTAGGACTCCTTGGGCGGGTGATCAGCTCGTCGCAAGGCCTCTACCTATACACAAACAAAGAAAATCGCACACAAACATCCATGCCCTGAGTGGGATTCGAACCCACGATCCCGGCTTCCGAGCGAGCGAAGACAGTGCATGCCTCAGACCTCTCGGCTACCGTGACCGGCTTTCTAAACCTAATATACTACGTAAATTAAAACTAAGTCACTCCCACTGAATTACTTAGTACTTTAACATTTAACTTGTTCGAACGGCTTCTTCCGTTTGAGTCGTCTAATGATATTGTTCACGTTGAGAAGTCTGGACGCTTCAATGTTGAAGTCTCATCCCTTGATCTTAGTGGTTACTATACGTACCATCAGCTTTAACATTATAGAATTCTGCATTCTGCCCAGTGCGAACTTGTGTGAATCTTACACTAAAAATGATTGTTCAGTTGTTTTTCTTTCCTCTTGCTCCCACTGTGGAGCATAGGGCTGATTTCTCAGTTTCATGATCATTTTTACAGGTGGTAGGGTTCCTTGGACGGGCGATCAGCTAGTCACAAGGCCTCTACCTATACACAGGACAACACAAACACAGAATTAAGCCATATACATATCGAACATCCATGTCTTATGTGGGATTCGAACCCACGGTCCCGACTT